TAGGGTTTTGCTGTTCTGTTCTAATTGGGTCCCAATGCAGTTGTCACATGCCTGCTTTCCAGACAGACTGGCTTTTATGATTTGGCTAGTGGGTATAGCTGCATCCTCTCTAATGAGAAGCTGAGAGGTACAGATGAGTCAAATGGACTTCTCTCCACAAAGATGGACAGATCTACCCCGCCCCCAATGAAGCTGGTTGGGATGACTTATTGAAGGTCAGCCACCACCACAGGACCTTTGCACTCCTTTATTCAGGCAATACCACTGTATTGTTCACTAACATCGAGGCCTTATGAATTTGTAGCACTCATCTGAAAGGAGGCAAGGCCTTTGGGTCCCTGGCATCTGTGACTGTATCATCCCAACTTCCCAGATAAACTCTCTGGGACTGCTACTTTCCCAGACTCCTGGGATGGCAGGGAAAGACCAGGGTATCTATGTGCCTGGATGCAGACCCTGCCAGGTCTCCCTCCACACTTTGCCCTTCCAAGCCTTCTTTTGGGGATCTATTGGGTGACCAGCAGGAGGCCATGGATCGTCTCAGGAGGACTCTAGCTCCCTGCTGGAGACATTATGTATGTTGTTTGCTTATTTGAGAGTCTGGGATGCAGGTGTTTCCTGGCTCCCCTTCAAGTCAACATGGACATTCCTAGGGCAGTGCCTCAACTGCTCCATTGGAGTGGATAGTGGAGATATCCCAAGCCTGAACAGATTGATAGAGACTCCAGCCTTCCTAGATTGAGAGAGGGCCAATAGGTTCCTTAGATTTGGCCTTTGCTTAGTGCCTTAAACATCCTGCATGTTCCATTTGTGTGATTTTAAAAAGTTATTTCCTTTAAGTAATTCATTCCTCTACTTTGTCTTCAAACCCCCAAACTCTGTCTTCTTTGTGATCAATTTTGTTGGCAAGGCTTTCCACTGAGCTTATTATTTGATTTATGGACATTTTTTAAATTTCCAGTTTGATTTCAGTTTGGGTTTTCTTTAGAATTTCTCCCTGTTCATTGAATTCTACTTTCATATCCTAAATTGTCTTCCGTATTTCATTCAGTGGTTTGTTCTTTTTCCACACTTCAAATGCTTTATTCCCATCCTCTTTGAGTTCTTTCGGATGTTTATTTGTGTTGAATTTTTTGGAACACATTTAGAACAATAGTTCTTTTTGAACTCCTTGTTTTGCTTTTTTTCCCCCTAAGTTGTTCTCATTAGGGACGGTTACCATGGGATTGGCAATTCTTGTTGGAGACAGATTGTTTTAGCTTCTTGTACTGCTTATGTTATTCCAGTGAGACCTAGGCATTTGAAGTTAGGGTGGAGGGTGATTGGCTGCATGACTGAGTAATGCTGAGCCTAATAGCCAGGGATTATTAAACAAAAATTCGAGTGCCAGGTATGGGATACCTCCTTATGAGTTGTTGGCCATTGTCTTCTTAGTTAGGGTTTCTACTGATGTAACAAAACACTATGACCAAAAGCAACTTGGGGAGGAAAGGGTTTATTTCACCTTACAGCTTGTAAGTCCATCACTTAGGGAAGTGAGGGCAGGAGCCCAGAACAACAACCAGGAGGCAGGAACTGAAGCAGAAGCCGTGGAGTTCTCCTTATTGTTTTGATCCTCATGGCTTTCCCAACCTGCTCTACTATACTACCTAGGACCACATACCCAGTGATGGCACTGTCTCCAATGACCTGGGATCCACTAACAATAGTCATTAATCAAGAAAATATACTACAGAGTTGCCTACAGGAAAATATAATAGGGGCATTTCTCAGTTAAGATCTCCTCTTCCAAAATGACTCTAGTTTGTGTCAAGCTGAAAAAAAAAAAAAAAACCACTTACCAGGACAGCCATGGAGGTCCCAGAGTAATGGGAAACCAAACAACATAAGCCATTCTTCTTGGATGGCCACCAGAACTAGTTGATAAGACACTGTTGCTAAAGATACCACACATTTTGGGTGCAATATACAGAGAAATTAAATTGTACCTGAGCTGGCATCCTCTTTCTCAATGGCCAGCTTTCATAGTACTGCAAGGTATGAGGCAAGCTACATATGGGGGGAGAAAAGACTTTGTCACAGTTAGCTTCAATTGTCAACTTGAGATGAAGAGGGAACTTCAACTGAGTTTCTTCCATAAGATTAGCCTATGGCCACATTTATGGGGCATTTTCTTGATTGGTAATTGATGTGGGAGTGCTCAGGCCATGGTGGATGGTACTATCCATAGGCCTGTGGTTCTGGTCTGTGTAAGAGAGGTAACTGAGCAAGCCCAGGAAAGCAAGCCAGTAGGCAGCATTCCTCCATGGTTTCTACTTCAGCACCTGCCTCCAGGTTCCTGCCCTGATTTCCATTAGTGATGGATTATAATCTATAAGGCAAAACAAACTCTTTCTAATAAAGTTGCTTTGATCATGGTGTTTACCACAGTAACAGGAAAGCAGCCTAGGACAGATATTGATGGCTTTACCTAACTGAGAACTCTACAGACTATGGTATCAACCTGCCAGAAGATATGTACCTACTGGCACAATAGTGGTATGGCTGTTCTGGGGGCAAACAAACACTCTATAATTAATTTTGAGGCTCACTCCACAAAAGGGAATCCACACCTGGGATGTTAAAAACCCATAGCTAGGGTGGTCTTAGGCTGTAGGGAGAACTTACTAGTGTTGTTAGCTTAAGTTGACACAGAACCATACTGCTTTCTAAATGTGTTTACACTCATAGACAAATGCTACTCTCCGTTTTGATTGGGGAAACTTCTCTGAAAGGTGATGAATAAAGAGACTCATGGCTGCTCAAGATACTGAGAATAAGTGATGGTCATGTGCTCAGCTCTCAGAAGGATGTTCAAACCACTATCTCTGAAGATCAGAGAACAATTGAGAAGCAGGGGGTGGTAGGAATATAAGAACTACAAGAGGTAGAACTATAGAGCTATGAAATGGTGTCTTCTGGCCATGACACACAATGGAATCATGACCTCACAGCAGCAGTGGCTGCTTACAATGGGCCTGTATCAGACTAGGCCTGTTAATAGCCAGTCATATATAGGGGCATTTGTCCCAAAGGGCTCTACTCCTCACTGCTAAACAACGGGATACCGATGGATTCTGGGGATAGGGCAGATACTGTCTTCAGTTGTGTACTCACTGATGAGCTCACCATGCCTCAAGAAATAGTTTCAAACCTGTGGTTTCATAGACAACCCTAATTAAACTTAGTGAGTTACAAAACAAAATAAAAAAGACATGGATGTGGGAAGAAGACTTGTAGGCAGGAGGCAGGGTGTGATTAAAACTCTGTAGGAAGGACATGGAAGTTTAGGAGCAGATACACAGCTGGGGGAAGCAGCTCTGGGGTACATTCTACCACCCTATAAACCCCAGATAGGGACCCCTATCTAGCCAGGGAGCAGGTTGGGGCCTTCCCATGACCATCCTTCAACTGTCCACACTGTTTCTCCTTCTATATAGCTTTGCTTGGGTTGAGGGATGTCTCCCCGAGGGCCTTCCAAGGGCAAGACCCTATGCCCTGCCGGGGTCACCTCTCATGGAGAAGTCCTCTGGAGCTCAGACCCACCCTGCTCTTCACCAGTTCCCCACCCCTTACTCCCTCTGCTGTGCCTTGCTCACTAACTACACCCATTTCTGAGCACAAGACAAGCCGCAAAGGTGACCCAAGAAGACTGTGAGCATAAGCAGTTATTCCGGTCTCAGGTGGCAGGCTGGGCCGAACAAAAAAAGGCTGTGAGAGCGAAGTCCATTTCTATGTCCCTCCTCTGTCCTCACCTACCCGCTCCCTCCTCCCACTGCATCTGTAAAGGGACCTGCACTTAGGGCTAGCCCATCGCTTTGCAAGCATGCCTGGGTTCCTGGGCCCCTGAACCTCCACACATGTGCATGTGCTACTCTCCATCCGACTCTCCTTCCTTTCTTAGCAGTGGCCATTCTCATTCGAAACCACCTCAGGACTCTATGGAGCATTCCCTGAAGATCCCCGGGGAGGTAGCTAGGCCTTTGGAGACCACACAACACATACATTCTTCTGTGACTGGAATGTGTTTTCCATGACCCCTGGGACAGTGCCACAGCTGGTGAGATTGGCAGGAAGGGGGCAGGAGGAGGGAGTTGCCACACCCATCTTCTCCCTGTGGGTCGCACAGAGGGCAGAGTGGGGGGTGACTGAGGAAGACCATTTCAGTATCTCACTGCCCTTTGATGAAAGCAATGGACCAAGGATGGGGAACAATGTTGGCTACAGAAATAAAGCCAGAGGGTGTGGCAGAGCCAGTGACATGGCAGCAGTGACAGGCAGTGTCAGAGGGGATGCAGTATCAGGGAGGACTCTGTCACCTGGGGAGAGGCAGAGGGTTTGCCAAGCCTCTTCAAGGAACACATAGCATTGTGTGTGTGTGTGTGTGTGTGTGTGTGTGTGTGTGTGTGTGTGTGTGTAGCCCAGGCTAGCTTCAAATTCACTATGTGGCTGAAGATGAGCCCGAGTGCTAGATTCTACTGCTTCTACCTCTGAAGTGCTGAGAAGGAAGGTAGATGTCTCTCTACTTGGTTTGCATAGACCTTTCAGTGTGACCCTCACAGAGCATGGGCTTCCTACTGTCTGGGGCAACTAGTCCTAGTGGTCCCCGAGACGTACCCCCGAGGGCCTCATGCCCACCACAGACCCCTCTTGTTGGCATGTGGTCTCCCTTGAGTCTGGAGATCCCCTAGAGGTCAAGCTGCCATCCCATCCTCTGGCCCTCACTCCTTACAGGCAGAGTTTGATGACCCAGCTTCCCAAGCCAATTGGATGGAAGAGCAAGCGGACCACCCTTAGATGCCCTGGTGGTGTTAGCACAGGGCTGTGCTGAACAGCAGTGGCTATTCTAAGGGCAGCATGTGCGCTTGCAGGAGTAGGGGTCGGGGCAGAAGTGGGCCCCATGCTGCCACACAGTGTTGTCAATGTCCATCCGTGGAGAAGAGAGAAGCAGAGACACAGTGTTTGCAGTGCCAGGATGTCACAGCACACAAGTTTATGGGATGTCAGACACGCAGCCAAGGTCACACAGTACCCATCAGCAACAGTCTGTCTGTGCACCTCCATCTCCCCCAGTCCCCACTGTACGGCTCAGAGCAATACTGCCAGTCCAGTCCAGTATTCCAGAGCCAAGGACCCCCAAAAGCCAGTTTATGCCTAGCTGGACCTTGGAAGTCCAGGGCCTCCCAGAGCCTTAAGTGTGTGCACATGTGTATGTATGAGGCAGATATCCAGTCTCTGTAAGCATACACCCTGGCACCTGTGTGTATGTGTCCATATCTGGCTGTGTGTGCAAAGCTGGGAGTGTCTGGCCCACCCTACTCAAGTGGCTTAGGCACATTAAAATGGGCACTGTGAATGTTGGATGATGTTTAGGTGTGTCTGAGGATGTGTAAGTGTCTGGCAAGGGGTGTTCTGTGATGTGCATCTGTCTGGGTAGGCTTTGTGCTGCTCAAGAGCCCCCCGCACATGAAGCAGCATCCACAAGAACACCTTGCTGACGGTGTGCCGGCAGCCATGCATCCCAGGGGTCCACAGATCAGTGCCCTAAGAGCAGTGTTCAGCCCGTTAGTGTAACTGCATCTCAGCAGGAGCAGGTAGCCAGGGTGGGCCTATCATCTGGGCACATACTCCCTGGGCAGCCCCGCCCAGTTGTGGTCACGCAAGGCTTGGTCCACTGTCCGGATGTAGCCATTGATCAAGTCCTTCATCTCCGGGGTGAAGGGCTCTGGGTCGTGAGGGCGCCGGCCACGCCGCCTGAAGCTACCCTCTTTGTTGTTCTCCACACAGAGAAGCCGCTCCTCGCTCACAGAGACGTTGAGGAAGGCCACCATCTCCCGCAGCGTGGGCACCAGGCTGCGTCGCAGCTCCTCGTAGTGCACAACCAGCAGCCGCTTCCCGTACTTGAGCCAATCTAGGACGTGTGAGGACCACCAGGAGGCATAGCTGTTCACGAAGTCCGGCCATTCTGGAACAGGGAGAGAAGTACTGACGTCAGAGCTGCCTCCTGGGGGTTACTGGCTCTGGAGGGCCTGCCTAGGAGAGGGGTGCTGCCAGGTTTTGACCTCTCACTACCCCGGGATGACCCACTTGGGTGTCCAGTGCGAATAAAGGGTTCCTGTCAGGTGCAACTTGGGAGAGTCCTAGGTCTGCCTGGAAGACAGTGATCCTGGGTCCCAAGTCACGATGAATATAGCCCACCATGTGCCAATCAAAAACTGGTCCTCTCCTGTATGCTGTGAGTTCTTTGACCTTTGGGACCATCCTGGACAAGGAGGAGTGTGCATGGGCCTGTGGGCCCTGGGGCATGATAACAAAGCAAGATAAAAGGATCAAAATCAGGAGGAAACCCAAGCAATCCATCTCTGTGCAGATGACCCCTTGAGCATCTTGACCTTGTCCCAGGCTCCTGGGCACATCATATTTTAAGGAGAGGGCAATGTTCATGGCTCTACTGCCTGCCATCTGGACCAACTTGCCTACATCCTCTAGGGCAGTGGTTCTCAACCTGTGTGTCATGAACCCTTTGGGATGCTGAATGACCCTTTCACAGGGGTTGCCTAAGACCATCAGAAAACATAGATATTTACCTTATGATTCATAACAGTAACAAAATTACAGTTATAAAGTAGCAACAAAAATAATTTTATGGTTGGAGGTCACCACAACATGAGGAACTGTATTAAAGATCTCAGCTTTAGGAAGGTTGAGAACCACTGCTCTACGATGACTAATGGTATGCCATCAGCTCCTGGGCCCTAGTGAGATGCGGGTGCTGAGCAGTTTGGTCTATTGTGCTAACAGAATGTGGTGTGTGAAATATGCATGTGGGGGCCTTGTCACCATGATGGCCGAATTGAACCCGTGACATTGCTGGGAGGGCAGGATGCAGAATGAAGCCATAGACGAGAGGGTGGCCTCAAGCTTTTGTAGATCTATACCATGAGATGCCCCCCATTTTTTTTACAACAAAAAGAATTTATTTTTGAAGAGTGCAGAGTACGAAAACAAAAATGGTCTCAATTAAGAGTTTCCAATTAGGTGCAGCAGACCTATTACACACATATAGTCCCAGCGCTCCAGAGGCTGAAATAGAGAATTGTGAGTTCAAAGTCAGCCTGGGCTACATAGAAAGTTCCAAAACAGTCTAAGCTGAACAATATTTTGCCTAAAATATTTCCATATTGTCTAAGAGTTTCCATAGTTGAGCTATTGATATGCCTGGCATACTATGGTTTGCTTCCTGTCATCTTCAAAATAATCTTATGAGATCAGACAATCCGTGGCTTGAAGATGAAAAAAACTGGTCTCTGGGGGGAGAGCCGAAGCTTGCTCAGGGTTTTAAGGCTTGTAGGAGTCAGTGGAGGGTCCGAGTTCAGCATGAGTATTGTAGGCTGATGGGGGCTGATCCCTTGCCACTGTCCCTGCATGCCTAAAAGCAGCTAAGGATGGCTGTTGGGGTCTGGTCTGGGCAGAAGGCAATAGGGAAGGGGTTGACTGAAAACCACCAGTCAGCTCCGGAAAGCACAGGTTCATCTGGCGCGGGCCCTGCAGCATCTCCACCCAGTGTTGTCCTGGGTGGAGTTTCATTCATGACTTCACTGACATTGTCACCTCCAGATGTGCCACCTCTATCAGATGTCATCATACTGAGGACTAGGGTTCAATGTATGAATGGAGGGGGACAAGGGCCAGATGGTAGCGCTTCAAGGGCAAATCTTCAGCTAGGGCCTGACCAAAGGTAGCATTTTTAGGAGCTGAGGTCAACAGGCTGACTCCACGAAGAGAGCTTCCATTCCAAGTCAGGAAACGAGGGTGTTATGGCTGAATGTTTGTAACATATATTGAAGCCCCTAGACCTGAATATGATGGTGCATACAGAAGAGGCTTTTGGAAGACCATCTAGGTTAGATGAGATGGTGAGGGTGTAGCTCTTGAGATGGGATTAGTGTCCCTACAAGAAGAGGGTCTCTGCCATATGGCCATGGAGTGCTGTCTGGAAGCTGGGAGAAGGGCTTCACCAGACACTGAATCCTTCCAGAACCATGAAGAATAAAGAACTATTATTTAAGCCTCCCTCTCTGGTGCCTTGTTGCAGTAGTCTAAGCTGTCTAGGAAGCAGGATTAAGACCCAGCTCTGCCACCTACCACCCAAGTGCCCTGGACAAATCAAATTACCCTCTGGGCTCATCTGGAAAGTTACATGGACAGTGATTCCCCTTCAGAACACAGTAGACTCAGTGGAGGCAGCGTAGGAATGACTGTCATGCTGAACCCTGGACGCAGACTCGGCATGCACATTATCTTTGTCTTCTCATTTCTGAACAGCATGTGAGTATAGCCTCCTTTTCTAAAGGAGGACCTTGTTAATTCAGGCAGAGAGGCAGACAGGGCCACGTGCATCTAGGGCTGTCTCAGGTCTAAGGCAAATCCTAGGTCTTTTCGACCTCATCCCCCGCCTGGGGGTGGATAGAGGAGAAATCCGGCTTGCCATCTGCATGGCAGTCATATAAAATGCCACACTGTGTGGACAGAGCAGGCTTGGAGAGGATGGGGAAGAAGTGAGCGCAACCAGGCCTTTCCACAGCCGGGAGCGTGTATTCTGATCCCGCACCACTCTGCTACCCTGTCAGTCCCCTGCTCCAGCTCTCTGTCCCTCACCTTTGCTCTTCCAGTTGCGGTCAGGGGCATATCCCAGATGTCCAGCACACTTCCTGTTGAACTCGGCAACGAGAGATCTGTAGGGGTTCCGGATCAGCAGGATGGCGGAGTCGAACATCTCGATCTCCCTCTGGCCGCTCTCATGTGTCTTCACACAGATGGTGCGTCGGCTCCGCCAATGGTCCTTCTCACCCTTGAACCCTGCTCAGGAGGAATGGGAGGGCCTCTGTGGAGGAAGGTACCCTCAGTCCCCCTTGTGGTGATCCCACGTCTATGATAACACAAGGACTGAGGCATCTGAGGGGGTGCTGGGGGATCTATGGATGGGGACAGGAGAGGTCTGCACAGGAGTGACTCTTGTCTCAGGGCAAGTGTGAACAGGAGGTGTCTATCAGTAGAGAAGATGATGTTCACATCAGCATGAGGCAGATTACCTCCTGCAGTCCCTGGGGCTCAAAAAGGCAGGGTCCCAACAACTATAGATACAGAAGGTGACACACAAGTTGGACTTTCCAGGGAGATAATGTCAGAGGAGCACTGTATAGAATTTTGGCCCAGGGTTCAGCATGACAGTCATTCCTACGCTGCCTCCACTGAGTCTACTGTGTTCTGAAGGGGAATCACTGTCCATGTAACTTTCCAGATGAGCCCAGAGGGTAATTTGATTTGTCCAGGGCACTTGGGTGGTAGGTGGCAGAGTGGGTGTGTGACCTACACAATATCACACAGCAACCTGACTACTGTGCTAGATCTCTGTCCACGTACCCTTGAGTGTTCCTGTGAAGGCCCTATCTTCTAGCCACCTCTCCAGTAGAGCCAAGACAGCTACCATTGTCAGTGGCTGTAAACAATGGTCGACTCTCTATGACTCATACCATATCCTATCTCAGGTCCTGGACTATCATATGAGTAGAGATTCTGTACTACGGGATCCAGGGCAGGTCTGGTGAAGGCGTCACTCACAGCACTTCAGGATCCACTTCCATGAATGGAGAGCTGTCCCCCAAACCACACCTCTCTACTATCCACACCCTCCCTTGGATCTTTGGTAAAGCACTGAGTACTCAGAATCTGACTGACAACTGATTGAAAAGATCAGACTGGACTCATTGGTCCCCAGAGTCACAGGGTTCCATAAGGTCCTCATGGCTCCTGTATTGAACTTTGGATCAGCTGATGGCTGGTGCTCTCAACTTGGTAAGACTGGGCTCAGCTAGGAGACAAGCCTCTGGGCATACCTGCGAGGGATGTAGCACTGGCCATGTCCATGGGGGACTATCTTGATTGGGTTAATTGAGCGAGGCAGATCCCCCCTAAAGGAAGGTGACACCATTCCCTGAATTGGGGTCCTGGATCACGTAAGAGGAGGGAGCTGGCTGAGTACCGATATTCATTGCTTTTCTTCTTGCTGACCACGGATAGATCTAGTATGACCAGCTACCGCAGTCTCCTGCTCCTCTAACTCCATCTCAAACTGTGAGCCAAATAAACCCTTCCTTCCTTTCTTGAGTTACTTTTTCCACTGTACTTGGTCACAGCGACAGGAAGGATGAATCCGACCGCAATAAAGGAACAAGAGCAGACCCTGATCTTAATGCTCTAGATTAGAAGGTGGTGTGGCCCAAGCGCAGAACACAGGGGCTTAAGGGGGCAGAGCAGAAGAGCCCACAAAGTGGCATGTTCTGGAGGCTTTCTGGAAATATGTCACCTGGGGTCCTTAGCCCATAGGTCAGCCTCACCCAGGACACCCAGCTCATAGAACAGGCTCCTTAAATCTCCGCAAGCTAGTGTTGGGGTTTCGGAAACAGTCCAGATGCCTCCCTTCGGTAGAGGTTTCAAAGCCTCCATACCTACAGTGGCATCGGCGCTTCCCTGGTGCCTGGAAAATGCAACTCTCAAACCCGGAATTGGGGGTTACCCACCAAAGCTTACTGCTGCCATGGGTCAAACACCAGAAGCTTTTTGCCTTGATTGATCTTACCAGACAGGCTAGGATGCCGTAAGAGGAAGATTCAAACTATAGCTCAATGAATTGTCAGGCCATGTGTGAGAGCCCACAGCCCAGGTGCCTCTTGGCAGCCCTGAAATTGGCTGTTCCACTCTTGGGCCACTTATCTACATGTATGTCCCGGCAGCTGGTACAGGCCTTCTAGGCAAACATTGTAGGTCACTGCAGCCTGGGTCCAGCCAGAGAAAGCAGGCCCATGTGCTTATCTAGCAACTGGCTCCTGCATCTGCAGGTGCCCTCAGTATCTCAAGGAAGAGGGACTGGGCTACCCATGCACAGCCAGTTTAAGAACTTGCTGCCAAACACAGACACATCTGTCCCTCTGGGTTGTTTTGTTTCCGACAGTGTCGGCTGTTTTTGCAAACCCAACGCTGGTTCAGAAACCCAGAGCAAATGCTGTGCCACTTGACAACTGAGAAATACATTTTGCCAGATTTAGATGCCACTTGACTTGTCTGAGGGTCTTCATTCTTGAGCAGCAGGCAAACTTGAGCCATTTAAGTTAATTTACTCAGCATAACGAGACCTCTTATTTCTACAAGGGAAAGATTAAAGATTAGAAATCATAAAGTTCTTGAGCACTTCTGGACCAATTTTTTTTTTTTTTTAAAAAAAGCAACTGCATTTTGATGAGCTACCCTTTTGCCTGGAAAAAAAGAGGAATGAACAGATTAACTTTCACCCTTAATGACTGGGGAGCTATGGGAAAATTCAGTGCTCTGAGGAGAGCGGGTTTGTGAGGGGACCTTACGGGGCTGCCTCTTCTCCCCCAGCAACCTGGCTTACCCTTGTTGTATAGGGTTCCATCGAAGTAGTAGCTTCCTGTGTAGAAGCCAGTGGCGTGTTCGATCAGGTGCCTCGCCCATGTGTTCCCAGCTCCCGGGAAGCTCGACAGAGCCACAAACACCTTAGACTTGTTGGGCAGGAACCTCCTGTCTGTGCACCGGGTGTCTGAAAGTCCATAAGTAAACCATGGAGTCACTCACCCGCACTGTGATCTCAGAGCTGTTGCTGGAGTCCTCTGGACAGGGACTGGCAATGAAGCCATTTGTCACCTACACCTTGCTATGCAGGTGAGTGGCTGATGATGGGATAAAACCTCCCATCCCTGGTGGCTGGGAATGCTCACCCTACTCTGTCTCTATGGGACAGCCAAAGCCTCTTGGCATAACACAGAGAACTCCAAATTCTGCTAGGGAAGGTGGACAGGGCTGTGTCTGGACCCAGCCATGCCACTGCAGTGCAATAAACTGAAGCTGGGCTGATTTCAGGCCAACAACTGTGCTTCTTATGTTCCCTCCCCAGGGCTGCTGGAAGAAGTACAAGTCACTAAGGGACAATCCCTGGAGGCACTGGAAAACAGTGGGATGCCTCTCCCTATGAGCTAGTCTTCCCCATCAGTCCCTCATCAGTCCCTAGGCCCAGCAGAGGCCAATGTGATGCTGCTCACCCCAGGGGGATTGCTAGCACATGGACGCTTCTGAGACCCTTCTTGTGCCTCTGAGTCTTGAGTTATCCCCTGAGGCCCCCCACTCTGCTCTTCCTCTACCATCCCCAACGGCTCGTATTTTCAAAAGGAGCCCGGCCTCACCCTCCCTTTTCTCTCCCTTATCCGCTGAGAAGAGACACAGGGAACTCAACATACCCTTTACCCTGTGGCTTCACAGTCAAGCACACTTAGTCTTTCTAGCTTTGGGAGCTCTTTGGGCTCAGACAAGCAATTCTCAACCAGTGGGTCGTGACCCCTTTGGTGTTTGAATGACCCTTTCATAGATTTGACAGCCTAAGATGGTCAGAAATATCAGATACTTACACTAAAATCCATAACAGTAGCAAAATTACAGTTATGAAGTAGCAATGAGAATAGATTTATGGTTGGGGTCACAACATGAAGAACTGTATTAAAGGGTCACAGCATTTGGAAGGTTGAAAGCCACTGCTCCAGACCAATGCCACAGTCCAGGAGGTATGCAGAGCTCACCTTGTACAGGTGTCTGGTAGACCTCACAGTAGCCAGGTAGCCCCTGAGCCTCAGGGGCCTGGGTGCACAATGCTCCATCCACAGCATCCCGCAGGCTGAACTTGGGGGTAGGGTAGGCACAGTAGCAGTCCCAGCCCCGGAGGATGGCCAGAGGAAACTCCTGTAGGGAAGGAGAGGAGGAGCGTGAGGTAAGCGAGTGAGTGGCTTGTACCTGCAGTCCAGGTGTGAGCTGCACGCTGTGGAGGTGCTGCCACTCACACAGAGTCAGCAGGGACTACCACCAGGCTCTGTGTCCAAACCTGAGGTAGTCACAGAAGTGAGCTGTGACTTCTGCCCTGCAGGAGCTCAGAGTGGACAGGAGGCAAGCCAGCTGTCACCACACTGCCCGAGCGTCACCAGGGGAGAAGGTGAACAGCACAGAAAGCTGGGCAGATCCTGGAACAGGACCCGGGATGTGGCTAGGCGTCTGGCAGGAGTGGCAGTGTGGGTGAGGACATCAGGGAAGAGACCCACATATGTGAACTCGTGAGGACAGGGAGCCAGCTCTGTTGCCACAGGGCAGCTCAGGGCACGATGTGCCGCATCATTAGACAACAGATCTTAAGCCCTGAGAGGGGCCCCAATTCCCTTAGCTAACTATGCCCCCTGGAATGGAACAAAAGCCAAACCTTGGCCTAGAGTCCCACAACAGAGTGGGGACAAATCCTATGGTCTTTTTCCCAAAGACCGATGAGTAGAGAAACACAAATCTTGTTCCTTCCTGACATGCTCAGATGATGGATGAGGCCTTTCTGAAAATGGAAAGTCTCTACCAGACAGAGACTGGACACACCTCTTTTTGAGGGTTCAGTCAGCTCTCAAGTGGGTTTTTGTTCCCCTTTGGAGTGTCTGCATCATATAGCAGAAAGAGAATCCTGAAGGCCTGGATGTGAATTCTGGCTCACTTGTGCAATAATGAACAAGATGCTTAACCAGGTACACAGTAGGCATTCCACATAGGAATGGGACATATTTGGCTTTCTTATCCTTTTGAGTGTTTACCACAGCTCATTCAAAAAAAAATGCACCCATTCCCCTAACACATGTCTATGAGCACCCACTATGTGCCAGGCAGTAGGCTGGACATTCAGCCCCACCCCAGTAGGCTTCTTAGACACAGAACCTGTGTGACAAAAGGAGGCAGTTGGGGGGAGGATGGTGTTTGCTGCGAAGGGAGCCGCTGCACAAACCTTTTTATTTTTTGCCCACAGCAAGAAATCTCATAAATAAATAAGGAAAATCAATAGCGTTTTCTGCGCGTGGCTTGGTAAAGCTGAGGAGCTATGCACTTGTGTTAGACAAGAGATAGTGTCGTAGCCAGGGAAGGCGAAGCAGAGCCTGGGGGATGCACTCAGGAAGAAACGCTAATCATTGACTCCCACAGCACAGGAGACCCTCTCCTCTGAGCCCAGAAATCCCTGTCCACCATCTCCCTCATCCTTCTTCATACGAGGATGGCAACTGTGCCCACTGTCACAAGGGACTGACAGGCACCACTGTGTCTTTAAGTCGATTGTACACATGGGCCCCACACTGCTTTACAAATAAGCCCCTTTGGTGGCCTGGCCAGCCAGCTTTTCTGGAAGTAAGAGTCCCTGTGGATGTGAACTGGTGGAAAGTGGTATGGTCCCTGCAATTTCAGCCCCTCTCTTCACCACACCAGTGTCCTGCCTTGTCCTTCAGTAGAACCTTCCCTGGTGGGGGCTCCCAGGCCCCCATGTTGCCCTCTGGGAGCACACAGTGGCTTGGTGGTGGCTTGCTCATTCCAGCCCACACAGCCTGTGATGGTGGAGTTTTAAAAACCAGGTCTTTATAGAGTTAATTAAAATGAAGCCATTAGGTTGGGATGGCCCTTCATTGTGACTGCTGTCCTCACAGGAAGGGCAGGCCAAGGCAAGCATCTAACAACGCTGGGAGACACAGGTCAGGGAGAGAGGATTTAGGAGAAACCAAGGCTGCTGGTACCTCCAAGTCATGGTTCCAGCTTTACCCTCCAGAGCTATGTGAGGGTTAGTTAACACCTGTTGTTTACTCTGTCCAGTCCGTGGTGCTGACGCAGCAGTCTGAGTCAGCTAAGACAAAGGCTCGCTCTGTTCCTGGGCTATTGAGTCAGCCTCCCATCCCTGGGCCTTTGCACCTGCTATTCCAAGGGCCTGGGATGTTCCTCCCCACACACCCTCTCTCACTTTCTTCCAGCCACCACTTCAGTGAGGCCTCCTCTGCCTACACCTTTCCAAACTACAGTGCCCTCCCACCTTCCCCTTGGCTCTATACGAATACTGCTTATTAAGTTCCCAATGAAATGCTCTGATCCCAAATCCATAAATCTATAGCTTGGTCAGCTATGATGAACACACATTGAGGCAGGCAGCATTTCCACCCACTTAGAGGTTCTACTGTTCTTTCTCCTTCATCTCTCCCTCCCTCAGCCTAAGCAACTGGTATCCTGCTTTCAATCACCGCAGATCAGCGGCATCCATTCTAGAGCATCATATAAATAGGATCACGGGGTGTGTATTTTTGTAAGCCTGGCTTCTTTCATTCAGAAAACCATTTGTTTAATCCATCCCCATCCCTTTACACATTGGTAGCTTCTGACTGTCACATAGAATTCCACGTGTGGATGGACCATGGGTTGACCAGTTCACTTTCTGATGGCCATCTGAGCTGCTTCCCGTTTTTAGCCACTGTGGATAAAGCTGCTGTGAAACATCTAAGGATGAACGTCTCGTGTGTAAACACCTGCTGCCTTTCCTGCCTTTTTCTTCACCGCTGTACTCACCACCGCACAGCATACTGTCTATTTTATTTCCTTTCCTGGTTTGTTGTCTGCTCTGTTCATGAGGACATAAACAGGGAAGGGATTTCTGTGTCCTGCATGTTGCTGCATCCTCAGGGTCTAAAACAGTGTCTAATGTGTGGCAGATTTTTAGTAAGTGTTTTATGGATGAACAAACACATGAATGAGTGAATGAATGAATGAATGAATGAATGAAAATGCATCCTTTCTAGATTCTACCACCATCAAAAGCTATTGGCAACAAACCATGCCATATTCCTGCTAGCTAAGGTCAAGAGCATCAAAGGCTATGAGGGAGGAGAAAGCAGCTACCTCTGAGCCAGCCTCACCCTGGAACCCCTCCCCCTGCAAGCCCAGGGCCCTGCTATCTTGGGATCCCTGCCAAGGCTAACAGTCTCCCCAGTCTGAGGTCCGAGGGCTCCTTCTTGGCTCTCCCCAGTGGCACTGGTGCTGCTGAGGCTGAACCTTCCATTCTCATATCCCAGGGCTGCCCGTCTCATATGCCTGTCACTGCCCCCACCAGTGACCCAAACCTTTTTGCTTCCCTGAGTGGATTAAACTGTCAAGTTTCCGGGTGTTTGCAGAGCAACGGGAGAGCTGCACACAGTAATGCAGTTTTATTTACAACATAACCGCCTCGGCGACATCAGTGGATCCTGAAAACACAGAACAATTTTCAGCCCCATGGGATTTCGAGGACACGATTTCCATAAAAATTAAATATTGATGAATCTTATCTCTCTTCCAACTTTCAGCTCTCCCATGCCCCTGCCCCCACTCCAACCTTCAATGGGAGAAAAAGACAGAGGAAAAGGGGGGTGGGGAACAAGTCGAAAAAAGCCAGGCAGAAAAAGCAAGCAGAAAGCCTGAGAATAACGTGGGGTTGTTGGAATCAAGCAGAGAGTGAGGAGAGCCTGTTAGGCCTGCATCCTCAGGCAGGATGGATGCACAGCCTGCTCTTGATCCTGCACCTGCCTGGGATGGGGACTAGGGCAGGATGGGACTGAGCCTGATCTAGGAGAGGGCATCAGGCAAGGACCAGGTCTTGAGACAGAGACTAGGGCTCTGTGGCTTGCAGGGAGCTATGAGCAAAGGCCTGGCCTGTGGTTGTGGATATCTCTATTTGTGGGAGTGGGATCCAGGGGCTGAAATGAGCTCCGGGTGCCTTTCAGAGAGTACTCAACAGCTGTGATGGTGGAAGTGTGGGTAAGGCTCAGAGAATTGGGCTAGATCTCCAGCATCCACTCAATGTAAAGCTCTCACTTGTCAGGCCCTTTCCACACATGCATCCTACGGGCACAAGAAAAGTCCAAACGTGGTGGCTTAGGGGAAAAGTCTGAGTGTCACCAGGAGACTTATGGGTATCAGTAGGGGTGTCATGGCTTTGGGAAGACCCGAGTCCATGGGCAATAGACAAACTAGACCAACTTCCCAGAGAATACCTTCCATGAAAACCAAACGTCATCAGACAGAGGAACTGGAAAAGATCCACCCAACCACCAGGAACCCAGAGGCCTGGCGTCCAACCATCAGGGCAAGAACCAGCTCCTCCTGAGTCAGCCCCTCAAACGTGTCTCACCAGCAAAGGAGCCAGAGGACTTAGAGAAATAATCATTGTCACAATCACCATCTGGCAATGGGCTACTCGGGAGGCACCACAAAACATAAATCATGACATCGCTGGATCTGTGCCTCTTTCTCGCAGGCATTCTCACTCCATCCAGCACAAAAGGTGGAGGACAGGGGTGACAGGACTAGCCAGCACCACAAATGAATAGCAGGCAGGGACTAGGACTCAAATGATCACAAGTTCAAGTCCCTCTTTGGACCAACTTGAGAAGGGCAAGACACAGTTGGAAAACATATTAAGAGTTCGTTATATCCTTCCATGTGTACATATGAAACCACGAATCCTTAGCTCCCTTGTTAACGTAGCTCAAGGAAACAATTATGAATGTGCTCACAGGTAAGGAAAGAAAACCAAGAGTACAAAAGAAGTAAGGAAGTGGGTCTGAGCTAGCTCCACTGGTAAAGTGCTTGCCTTGAAAGCATGAGGACCTGCGTTCCAGAACCCACATTTTAAAAAGGCAGATGCGGTGGTGCACACAGTGTGATCCCAGAACTGGGAAGTGGAGTCAGGTTGATCCCTAGCCTACTTATCGAGTTCCAGGCTAGTGAGAGACCCTGTCTTAATAAAACCCAAGGTGAGGACGATACCAAGGTTGTCCCTTGGTATATACATGCATATGTACATGCAAGTTCTTGCATGTGTGTTTGTGTGTGTGTGTGTGTGTGTGTGCGCGCGCGCGCGCACGCATGCA